GGCGTCACGACGTGACTCCAAACCGTCGACAGCAGAAGAGGACATAATATAGCATAACATGACATATCGCTACTACATGGAACGCGGTTGAACCATTTTTGAATACAGAAGCGGCAGTAGTGCAGTGGAGAAGGGGAGTACCACGACAGAACAGGACATAGCAAAACGTACTAGCATATCATGTCATGCTTTACTATATTGAACCGAGCCGGCAACACCATCACAAAACAGATCATAATAAAACATGAATTGGGGGACGTATCATGCTCCAACATGGTGCCAAAATGGCAACGTAAAACACAACGTACCAACACATACTGAGGCAGAAACGTGCGTGACATAACATCATTTCACGAATGACATAACGGAAAGGCAGTGGTACATCGTAACATAATACACCGTACGTGCATTCTGGTCAGCGCCACCAAAAGAGTCAAGAGTCACATCGATGAGCGATACGACGATGTCTCTAGCGTGACAAGCGTCACGACGTCACGCCGGCCGGTCGATGTCAGACCATCAGAGAACATAGCGTCACATGCTACAGCGGGGCAGAATCATACCACACACACACACTTTACCACAACATCGCATACACAGAAGCCACAACTCGACGGTGTCGCCCAAGCGTCGCGACGTCACGCTGGCCCATCGAGAACACACATATACACAATAGAGCATAACATGTTAGAGAGTTAGTCCCACCAGCCCTTTGCGCGTGAGTGGTTTAACGAGCTTTCTCTGTTCTCAACCCCCCAACCCCCCTTCTTCCCCTTCGGGGAGGGGTTTACCCCTCCCCCTACCCCCTCCCCCTGGACCTGGAGAGCGCAGCCCGCGGGTCGTCAGGGTGGTCTTTTTCGACGCCTGGGAGGGCCAAAAAACGACGACCCTCACGAGGATTCTGGCTCCGACGGGGGGACCCTCTTGTAGTACCCCCTCTTCTGTTAAGCCAAAATCCTTGCTTTTACGATGGTTTTGGCCCCATTTTGGCCTCCCGAAGGGGGCCGCGCTCATCTTCCTTCATAGCAAAATCATTGATGTTACGAAGGTTTTGGGCTCAGTTTGTCCTTTTCAGGGGGCAGCGCTTCTTTGCGCTTCTGAGGATGTCGCAAGAGGCGCCAAGATGGCCCCAAGAGGCCCCCAGGAGCCTCCCAAGAGGCCTCCAAGAGGCCCCCAAGAGGCCCCCAAGAGGCCCCAAGAGGCCCCCAAGAGACCCCCCAGAGGCCCTCAAGAGGCCCCCAGAGGCCCCAGGAGGCGGAGGCCCCGAAGAGGCCCCCAAGAGGCCCCCAAGAGGCCCAAGAGGCTCCAAGAGGCCGCCAAGAGGCCCCACGAGGAGCCCGAACGACTCACACCAGGTCGAGGGGCCCGAACGACTCATACCACGAAGAACCCGAACGTCTCACGCCAGAAGGAGGACCCCGAACGACTCACACCACGACGCGCGCCTCGAACGACTCACACCACGAGGAGCCCGAACGAGTCACACCAGTACTACTACTACTACTACTACTACTACTACTACTACTACTACTACTACTACTACTACTACTACTACTACTACTACTACTACTACTACTACTACTACTACTACTACTACTACTACTACTACTACTACTACTACTACTACTAGTACTACTACTACTACTACTGCTACTACTACGACGACGACGACGACGACGACGACGACGACGACGACGACGACGACGACGACGACGACTACTACTACTACTACTGCTACTGCTACTACCACTACCAGTACTACAACTGATCCTACTGGTACTACTTCTACTACTACGACTAGGAGCCGAAGAGGAGGAAGAGGAGGAGGGAGAGAAGGAAATGGGAGGCAAGACAGAAGGCGGTCGTTCACCAGTCCTACACGTAACCGACTCTGTCGACTCACACGACGGCGACGTCCTGGACCAGAATGCATGTGATGTGCGTCGTTGGGGCCCCTCGCCCTGGTGTGAGTCGTTCGGGCTCTTCCTTGTGTGAGTCGTTCGGGCCCCTCGCGGAACGACTCACACAAGGAAGGAGGGGCCCGAACGACTCTGTCCAGGAGGGGGGACCCGAACGACTCACACCACGAAGAGCCCGAACGACTCACACCAGGACGACGGGCCCGAACGACTCACACCAGGGCGACGCGCCCGAACGGCTCACACCACGAAGAGCCCTGACGACTCACAACACGAGGAGGCCGAACGACTCACACCAGGAGGAGGGGCTCGAACGACTCACACGACGAGGATACCGAGCGACTCTCACCAGGAATAGGGTCCCGAAAGACTCACACAAGGACGACGGGGCCGAAGGACTCACACAACGAGGGCCCGCACCGCCGCCTTCGTCGTCGTCGTCGTCGACGTCGTCGTCGTCGTCGTCGTCGTCGCGGTTGTGGTCGTCGTCGTTGCGGTCGACATCGTCGTCGTCGTCGGGTGCGTCGTCGTTGTTCAGATCATCGCTGATATCGTCCTCTCCGCTGAGTCCCTCTTGCCTC